CTCTCTCTCTCTCTCTCTCTCTCTCTCTCTCTCTCTCTCTCTCTCTCAATTAACACTTCATGTTAAAACTTCCCTTCCATGTTCGATAGTCTGAGGTTAATTGCTTCTGGGATAGTAATTGTATGTGCTGAGGAAAATAATCCTAAGACTGAGATGCCATTTCACAAAACTTAAGGACCCTTTCTGCAGAAGATCTTTGTGTTAATGTTAGATGGAAACTATCAGAAATTTAAGCCATGGTCTAGAAATGAGAGCCATACAAAAGTATATTCCAAAGACACAAAGAGATGTAAAAAGTTTGCTCTTGATATATGAATTTTATTGTATTATTATTATTATCATTATCATCATCATCATTTTATTATTTACTGCCCAAGGCAGTTAATCTATTAATTCCTTGGATTTATAAAAATCTTTGAAGACTGCTAGGTAGGAAACTAAAATAAAAGGAGCACTGTCCTCTCCTTCTTTTTTTAAATCCCAAATATAAGATTTCTGAAACTAGGAAATTATAAGAAAGAGTAAATTGGGATAAAAATCCACAAATCTGGGAGATTCCAATATTGTAGGTAAACATGTTTAAAGGGACTTGGAAAGTTAACAAATTAGGAACACTAACTTAGGTTACTATGGATGACAACTGGCCCTAAGCATAGACACCAGATCAAAGAATTTCCATTATCTAACAATCAAGGTATTTTAGGAATAAATTGCTTTTCATTTTTTCTACATTTGCTTATAGATATCGCAAGCAAAAACATTTTTGAAAGAATTAACGTCTGATGAGGTTAACACAAATATATACTAGGCAGGACTTTCAGTCATTAACAAATTATTTTTACCTTTTTATAGTATAAAATTGATTTTGGAATAATAATATTTAAGGAACTGAGAAAAAATTAAGTTCATTACCACTTCCGATTAAATTTTGACACTGTTTGTCAAAAGACCGACATATTCCATCAAAGCAGTAGCCTCTACCCGAATCACACTCTTGTCCGTTGCGAGAAAAAGTGTTGTCCACACAGTATGCATTTTTCCCATCACAAAATTCTTTGAAATCACAGAAAGAATCAAATGATTTCCTACAAAGTATATTAGCTGGTTTTATCTAGGAGAGGAAAGAATCATAAGAATAGTATCAATGATACTTAATTTTCTTTCTCTTTAGGTTCTAAATTCCCATTCAATATTTTTCCTAAATTGTCAAAAGCAATTTTAAAAATGGAAATTGCAAGCCTGAGTGGTGGTACATGCTGGTAATCCCAGAGGCTTGGAAGGCTAAGGCAGGAAGACTGCAAGTTCAAAGCCAGCCTCAGCAACTTAGAAAGGCCCTATCAAGGGCTGGGGATGCTGCACAGTGATTAAACCTCCCCTGGGTTCAATAACCACCACCCCCCACCGCAAAGTAAAAAGAAAAGAAAATCTCTTGTTATCTACTAAAGCATCACATAGATATTAACGAATTTCTTGTGCACATAAACAGTGGATAATGTTTCTAAGAGATGTTAGAATCTCAAAGATAAGCAGGCTGCTAAAATAGGAAGGAGCTAAAAAAGTAATACAAAAATTCCTTGTAAGCCATTATGGCTATGGGCAGCTTCTGAAGTCTCTGTATTATCAATCTTAAGAAACCAGAAAATATTTATGAAATGGTAATACACATCATAAATATTTTGAAAAATATTGATTTTAAAATAAGATAGTTTGAGGATACACAACACAAAGTTTATTTCATATATCATGTTGTTAACAACTAAGAAAATAATTTCTGCAGTTAGTATTCAGTGCTTATGATTTAGCTGATCTATTTCAGGGCTGCCTTCTGCATGCTTGATTGGGCAAAGAAACATTTAATCATCAACTCTGGAAACTGTCTTCTCATCAATATAAGCCCCAATTCCTCATCATTATCTTATTCAAAGTAAGTTTTCTAGTTTTCAAAGCTCCCAGAGGCCAGCTGATATAATATTCATCTCCCCAAAATAGGTTTCTCAGTACTTTTTCTTGAGCATTGAAAATTATTTGTAGCAAATATCACTGAAATTCTCCAAGTGATAGACAACAATAGAAAACATAGTATCTACTTGTGTCACCCAAACTTACAGAATTAACATTCAACTCAAAACCAATGAAAAAAATTTAAAATGAATAAAAGTATAATAAGAAAGTATCAACACTATTTTCTCACAACTTGCTTCCTTTTACAAATTTGTATTAATGAAAATTTTACTTTTATTCTAACATATTTTTCATACCTATGAATACTCAGTTTCTCAAATGCTGTCTGAACCAAGCTGAAATTTCCTACTACCTCCATGATTAATGAGTAGAGAGAAAAAAAAAAAAAAAAAAAAAAACCATGTGTGTTGGATTTCTTTCCTTGACTCTCTTGATCAATTTGCTGTTGCTGGAAAATTTTAAATACTATTTTTGTTTATGACATTTTTCCTTCTAATTGTGGGGGTGGGGAGGGGGGTAAACATTTTATTCTTACCAAGACTCTCACTTTGTACATGTTTTGTCTATTGTACATGTTTTGTCTAAATGCATGGTCAAAGTTTTGTCTCCGTCTGTAACTGGACCAGGAATGAGCAAATTCATTTATAACCTCTGATTGCCCCCACTACCATCTTGATTACATATTAATGAAGCTACCATTATCTGTCAAAAAAATCATAAGTTGAACTATGTACCTTTTCACAACTGGATCTAGGGACCAATGTGAAATGTGTTTATTACCAAGTCTCGAAACATATTTTTTTAAATGTATACTTGGGCACAGGAAAATGTACTTTATTCAGTCAAAAATAATTCTACTTGATGCAGCAATGACAAAGAAATTGATAATCAATAAAACACTTTCCTATGATAGATAAAATAGAAACTAAATTTGTTTCAAGTCATATCTAATGTAAACAACTAACATTATGAGATGTTTAGTGATAGAAAAGTAGAACTGCATGTACTCATAATGAGATCTTATTTAAATCAAGGAAAATTTTTATGAATAAAGGTAATGAAATGAGTTAAAATTTTAAGAAACCAGGGATCCAAGATGGCAAGCTAGAGGGAAGCTGCATTCCTTATCACTCTGTGACATAGTATTCAAGCCATGGGAATACTGTTTCTCTTCAAGTTATTAGAGAACCCCTGACCCCTGCAGGAATTCCAGTCACTGAGCTCACATAGATCATCCAGCTTCAGCGCCCACATAGGATCCCCCAGGCTGTGCCCGAGCAGGACTCCCAGCCTCCAATCTGCACAGGACCCCCAGAAGCCACTCCCATGTAGGTCTCCCATCCACATGTGGACCCGCATCTACCAACATGGGGCTCTCTAATCACCTCCATCTTGGGACACTACAACTGCTGCCATAGTTGCTCCACGAGGTAGCCTGGGGACATGGGACAGGGTCTGGAGACAGCAACCCACCACAGCACTGCACACCACTGAGCTGCATCTCTGAACACGCTGACCAGTGACACCACCTTCCCCACCTTGACACCCCATCTCTGAAAGCAACCGCCTCCATCTTGGGAAACTTCTGTTGCCATCTTGGGTTATCCTCACTACCACCATCGCCATCTTTAGTTGGGGCAACTCAGAGCTTGGGACACCAGCTGGGGCCTAGAAGCAATATTAAGTTACCTATAGTCCCCCAACTCCTCCCTCCCCCATAGCCACTAACCCCAGCACAGTGCTTGTGGCTAGTGGCCAGTCTGTAGCTTGCAAAGCCTGGTCCTGACCTGTCTGGTATAAAACTGCTCTCCATGACAGGTGTGCAGGCCCCATAATGCAGCCCACAAGTCCTCTGGAGAATTTCCTGATTGGGAAGTAGAAAGAGAGGGGGTAAGTGAGATATAGTATAGAGACTAAATTAGAGACTAGGAATTGTGAGGTCTACAGGAGATATATAAGGAGATAAAGCTAGGCACCCACAACACATGAGTGGGCCCCAAAGAAGATCCTTGGGGTGCACTATTCCAATGGGGATTGGAAAGTGCTATACCCCACCTTTAGGAGTTTCACCTCCAATACCAACCCTCCCACCCTAATACCTTCACCATCCTGAGGGTGCAGATAACCAGCAAACAACAGACAACCCCACCTACTGGATAAAAAGGATAGAAGGAAAGAAGTCCAACAGAAACTGTCCTTTAATTTTCCTGTGAGGCTTTTTTTCTTTTCTCTTTTTTTCTTTTCTCTGTCTTTCCCCACCCTCACATCCCCAACATTTGTGAAACCAAGTACTTTTAATGCACTAGGCTACTGAGGACTGGGATAGCTCAATAGTATATTACAGTTGTGTTGTACATAATTTTTATTTTTACATTTTTTATTTTTTTATTTTTATGTTTGTTTTTTGTACTCTATTGTCTTCCCCATACTTATCTCCCCCAAAATCTCTTTCTCTATTTTCTCTTTTCTGCTGCTACTAGCCAACTTCTTTTGATTCTTCTTTCACACTTCCTAAGAACTTTATATCCTCAACTCCTTCCTCTTTAACATCTCATCCTATACGCCCCCCCCCCACTTCTCTTTGTCCACCATTTTAGAAACTATTGACCCTTCTGCAAACCTGCTGTTTAATATTGTAGATAATATTTAAACTCACCATTTATGTCCATTATGACAAAACCATAAACATCTTAATAGGAGCAATTTGGTTTAAAGCTGTATATTGTTTGTAGTGGAATCTGTTAATATTTATCTCCACCTTAAAGGAGAGGTATTGGAACTCTGCAGGGACACTAAAAACCTATAGGGTAAAAACTATAATACCTTGGGTCCACACTGCTGGAAGGGAAGACAGAAGAACAACATAAAAAAACAAGGGAAGAAAGTGCCCCAAAACAAACCAAGACACTACACTATTCCAACCATGGCCAGTCAGATAAGGAGTTCAGGATGTACAAAATTAAAATGTTCTGTGAATTCAAGGATAATATAAGAGATAAAATACAACCAACAAAATATCATTTTAATAAAGAGCTATATAAACAAATACAGGAAGCAAAAGTTTACTTCAATAAAGAGATATTCTGAAAAAATAAACAGAAATTCTTGAAATGAAGGAAATAATAAATCAAATTAAAAACTCAATAGAAAGCATCACCAACAGATTAGATCATGTAGAAGGCAAACTTTACAATGAAAACAAAATATATAATCTTGAAAATAAAGTTGACCGCACAGTGAAGATGGTAAGAGAAACCATGAGCAGAACATCCAAAAACTATAACATGAAAAGATCAATTTTAAGAATTACTGGGAGAGAGGAAGACATAGATTGCAAACCAAAGAGTGAACAATCTATTCAATGAAATAATATCAGAAATTTTCCAAACATAAAGAATGAAGTGGAAATCAAATACAAGAGTCTTACAGGACACAAAATGTACAAAAATCACAACAGATCTACATAAAGTCACATTATGATGAAAATGCCTATCATACAGAATATGGAGATAATTTTAAAAGCCACAAGAGATAGGAATCAGATTACATATAGGGGTAAACTAATTAGGATCTGTTCAGATTGCTCAACCCAGACCCTCAAATCTAGATGATCCAGGAAAAACATATACCAAGCTCTGAAAGAAAATGGATTCCAACAAGAACCTTATATCCAGCAAAATTAAGCTTCAGATTTCATGATGAAATAAAAACCTTCCATGATAAACAAACATTAAAAGAATTTACAACTAGAAAGCCTGCACTACAGAATGTCCTTGGCAAAATATTCCATGAGAAGGAAATGAAAAACAACAATGAAAATCAGCAAAAGGAGGTATTACACTAAAGGAAATACCAATCAAAGGAGAAATCAAGCCAAGTTAAAAACCAATAAACAAAATGACCATGAATACAAACCATTTCTCAATAATGACTCTGAATGTTAATGGCCTAAACTCATCAATAAAAAGACATAGACTGGCAAATTGGATTTAATAAAAAAGACCCAACAATATGCTACTACAAGAGACTCATCTCATAGGAAAAGACATCCCCAGACTGAAGATGAATCACATGGACTATGGAAACAAACAGGGGTTTCCCTCCTCATATCAAACAAAGGAGACATCAAGATAAAGTTAATCAAAAGGA